ATCCACTTGTCGGGTTTTGCGATTACCTCTGACGACCAGTATTCCTATTTCTATGTGAAGTCTCTGGGTCGGATTTTCTGCGAAATCCATCGGATGTGACTAGGGTTGGGTATCGAGAATCGAGTATCGATTGGAACCGGCACTAACTTTTCGTTTTTCCCGGAATCGTTCAAAAGTTAACATTTCGATTCCTAGTTTCGATATATTTACAGTCCGCCGAGCGGAAGAAGAAACCGCTGAACAACACCAACGAAGAAGCGTCTACCGGAAGTGTTGGCATAACCGCGCAAGTCGAACATGAGTCGGCGGTCCAAAGTGTGGCTTCACTTTTCTAAAAATAACGAAATCTCGGCAAAATGCAAAATTTGTGACAAAAGGAGTATTTGTGACAGAAGGAGTATTTCCTTCAGAAAGGATTATTTCCTTCCGAAAGACCGTTGGTTAGCAAGGTTAGCTAACCTTTTTTGACCCTGCCTCTTAAAAGAATCGGAATTGAGAATCGTTAGGAACCGGAATCGAAACAAGGAACCGGAATCGGAATCAGAATCGTTCAAATTCAAACGATACCCAACCCTAGATGTGACGTGCATGCGCGCTCCCGAGCCAGACTCCTTTTTATATACAGTCTATGCGACGGCACTGCAGCTGAAGACATGGAGTCTGATAACACCCAAAAACTCCTCCCTCCAGCACAACACAGACTCCAACACACACTCCACATAAATATAAAAAAAAAAAAAATTATCTGCTGAAGCTCGTCAAGCGTGAATCGGATCGACTTAGGACGAAAACATGGATCAACGTCGGCAGAGTTTTTGAATTATGGAGAGGCCTCCACTATTTTTATTGTGATAAATTACAAGTATTCAGATATGCTGAAATAAAAAATGGTAAACTGTAATGAAATAGCAAGGTAAACTACAACATATATGAGACATGAAATGAATACATAAATAACAAGGATAACAAAAAGTAGGTGCTTTAGGATTTAACTTTTATTTTATGTACTAGATTTACTGTCAGTACAGTAATGTTACTTCCTACGATCTTACTGTTACACTGAAATTGTTCAGTCTAGTTCACTAACTGTTTTCGTTATCATATTATACATTCACCTACAGTATGTTGAAATTGCTGATTGTGAAAGATACACAAATAGTTATTGAAATGCCTTATGCTAGATAACACCACAAATGTAACATTATCATGGTACGTGCTTGGAGCACTAGTTCAACGTCAAGCTGATAGTAGCCTATTATTGTAAAGTTGCAGTGGGAGTTGACATGAGTTTCCAGCATGTTGTGTGATGCTTTTTGGTGGGACAGTGCACGCCCCTGCCACTGATATCCATTTTCTTTGAGCAGAAGACTTTCACTTTCTCTCCCGTCTTCAGACAGAAGCATATGTCATCCTTTCATGCTCAGAAGCAGGACTGAGTCTTTGGGGCAGCGCCATAGACGTTTGGGTCAGGGCCCGAATCCCCCTCCCTTGTTCTGAAGGGATGACTGGAAAATCCCTGCTAAACACGCAGCAGCTGGAGTCCACTGAGAGGATTCGGCTCTGACTCAAACTCTATTGCCAGCATGTTCATCATGTCACCGCTTCAGCTGATATCCCATACTGAAGCACATAGACACGGACTAATCATTCTCCGGTTGATGTGAAACAGAAGGGTGGGTTGGTGATTGTGTTCATTTTTCCTTTGTTTAGTGGTGTTTGTTTCTTTCTTTGATTTGGGCATGATTTTTTTTTTCCAGTGTAGTTTGCTAAGAAGTCAGAAACCAACATAACAAAGATAAAATCTAATTATTCAAACATATAAATATATTAAATAATTGAAATATGTTTACAACCTGCTAGCATAAGGCATTTAGTAATATACTTCAAATATTAAACATATTTTTTTTAATATATATTATTTTAAAATATAGGTATTTACTTATATTTGTCTTTAAAACTAAGTTTTGTATTTAAGCATATGCCATTATATCAAATGTTTTTTTGTTTTTTTTATCATAAATTCTGTCAAGTATATCCAACCTTGTTTATTGCATTTTATTCAAATACTCTTTTTGCTTTCAAAACTTGAAATGTATTTGTTTGTTTGCATTTACACTGCTTACACATGTAGTGCTACTTAAATCAAGTTAGATACCGTGATCCATTGAGATGTATTGAGTTGTGACATCTCAATGTGTATCATATTGTGAGATTTGTGATACACTTAGCTTAAGAGAATCAGGAGAATAACGAATGTGAATCTGGTGTGTGTGTCCAAGTTTATTTTGAGTTGTTGTAGGAGTTTGTGCTGGTTGGTGTCCTGTGATGCTGGGCTCTCAGGTCCTTTTCAGACGAGTGCCAAGACTCACTGCCATCTGTTCACACATCTCCTACCACTCTCAGTTCCTTGCTGAAACTCACACTCTTGCTTAAACTCTCATTTAGAGCAAATTAGTGTAGAATATCACATTTGAACATTTGTTTATATGGCTGTTTTCCCTCATCAGGTTTATTTAAAGTCATTTATGCATAAGGTTGATTCAGAGCAGCTTGATATACAGCACTGGCTCTTTCCATTAAGTCACTGTAATCATCTGTTCTGTTTGTGATGTGTGCAGAGTGCAGTCATGGTGCTGTGATCTTCATCTTCTCTTCACTCCCCTTTCGGTCTTCTACCTTTCATATCTTTTACTAATTCTTGCGTCATATTCTATTCTTGATTTATTTTTTCCTGCTATTTTTCATAGTCTCATCACGTCTTGTCTCCTCTTGTCTGTTTCTACGTCTCTTCTAGTTTTGTCTCATCTTATCTCTCCTTTTTCTTTCTGGTGGACAGGTGGATTTTCCATTTTTGGAAACCCTGCACACATTACAGCTGATGTAGACAATTCTAGTGTATCTTCACCTCAGATAAACAACTGTAACATTAGCGAACAATCTACCATTCTCTCTTTCTGTCGCTGCTATTGTGAGGTGATGGACAATATTGTGCTGTGTTTTCGCGAGGTGTTGGGTGTTCCATCTTGACTCTGATCTGATACTTGTCATACACACCGAAGCACTGAGATGAGGAAAAATCAATATTTTGAGACAACATAGCGAGAGCTGTTGACCTGACCTGAGGGAGAGATGAAGAATGAGAGACAAGAGCAATGAAAATGACTGAGTACAAGGATGAAGCTCCACACTAGAAACAAAATACAGAGAAGAAAAAGCCACAGCTTTGATGGATGAGTCATACACCGTCCCTGCAGGTGTTGTTGTTGAAGCTCCATGAATATTTAGACATATTAGCAGATGAACACAAGAGCAATACGCCTAACAGCCTAACACATAGACTAATTTAGCTGTATTGATCCCTCAATCATCTGTCCGCCTGCCTGGACTGATTCTGCTTGTTGCAAGCCAGAAAATGGGTGGTAGAATGTAAGATGCAATGCATTATAGTCTGTCATATATGATGTCATTAATACGGAATATCCGCAGTGAGAGACATACCTTGATTATACAGTATTTTTGCAGATATACACAGTCACAAATACATTTTCTGCTTTGATTTAGGAAGGAAATTCTGTCAATTAGATTTAAAAATATGATATCAGTACTATTTATTTTGTTAATATCTGAAAAAAAAAATAATAATTAGCTATAATTTTAATGAACATCCATGAGCCATTTCAATTCTGCAGGAATGTGCAGAGTTTTGCAGCAACAGATTCAAGAAACAGTCGGCCTGTGTTTAAGGAAGTTTAGCTTGTACATTTTGGCTTGTTTAAAAGCATTATGTGACAATAGTGCTACTACATTGTCTGTTTGTGCATAAAGAGCTTGTACATCTTTTATAAAAGCTCATTGTGGAGTCATCTTAATGGTTGCCACTTGTCTGAATTGATAGTTGTCATTACACAGTGATGTTTGAAGTATTTTGTTTTCTGAAGGTTTGTGAAACTTTAATATAAGTTATGATTGGTTATTATTAAAATAATAATCAAGCAATAATGTCGTTTCCAAAAAGGTTTTTAGTATGTTATTGAAGGCTATCCAGAATATGAAATCAAATGGAGAAGCGTTAGAGGGCAATGACAAAAGCTGCATTGTTTTTATTGAAGACAAAAACAAAACAAGACTGAGCAGATAAGTAATAAGTCATTGGTAGGTTTCCTGCTGTCATTTTTTTTTTTTTTTTTTCATATTTCGCTCATTAACTGTTTTGAGAACCTACGTAGAAGCTTCACAAGCATCTGCACTCCATGTTTTGCTCCGACTGAGGAACAGCTAGTGTCACCATGGCAGCAGGCAAGGCTAGCGGAAAATCTGCCCATACGCATGTAATGAGGCGACACAGCACCATCTTCATTTTTGCATATGCACATGTGCTTTCCTGTTTGTTAGTGTGTGGCTGCTGCATTACACACTCAAGACCCTCTAGCACACCATCTGGAAGCCTCTAGAAGGGCAACCAATAAGCCTACTCACATGTGACTCATGACTGGCATTAAATCAGTGTAAATACTGCACACATTTAACCCTGTAACACGGCACTAATGCAGCTGTGGATAATGGGGGGGGGCTTCACAGATCTGTGAAAAGCGCTTTACATCTATGATTTCATCAGGGTGTTTCATGCCACATGTCCTTTAACGTCATCTTTAGGTGGTAGCGTGATCCGTGAGTGTGCACACAAGCTGTGCCACCAAAGGCCATCATAAAACAACCCCTTTGTTTGACATTTTGTTGTGTTGCAATTTGCAAACGTTTATTACTGGAATCACTATTTGTCTACAACAGTTAAGCCCAAAATATATTCCGGCCGTCCGTATATATTCGACTGTCCATGTGACATAGTTTTGCAGCCCTATTTAGTAGCAATACAGTAGCACATGTGCAAGTAACTTTGAGTGCTTGCAAACAAAGTCCACCAGATGATTTGATGTGATTTAGCTGTAAATTGCATTAAGTGAAGTTTCTTTGGCTAACCCAAACCATCTCTTGTTCCACAGGTGATCTCTGCGCTGTCCAGAATATCCCACAACAGCATTGCACAGATCAAAGGCATCAGGTAATTAATTTCCTCCACATGCTGATTGTGTTTCCTTTCAGTAATGGTGTGTCTCGAGTCTTTAGGAATATTTTTTGGGCTGCACCTTTTATGTGGCTCCATTCAGTGGGCCCGCAGGTAAAAGCAGTTGGCACAGACCACCGCATATGTGCGAAACCTCTGGGCCAAAACCCATGAAGTGTGTGGTTGTCGCTCCCCTCAGGTGTTTTAGCGGGGTGGAACCTGCCTCCCTGCTTTATAGGCGACTGGGATCACTTCCTGTCTCATTATTTGGCCAGTCTGTTCGCCCTGCTTCGCAAATAAAGCCTTTTATCCGACGAGGTAATGAGCTGATGGAGCGAGCCATTAGGCGTTTTGCCAGAGCGGGGCGGAGGCAATCGAGGTAGTCAGTAAAGCGTAACAGACTGAGGGGTGCCTAAATCACTTCCGGTGGGGACAGGGATGACCAAAATACTGCCCGTTGATTTGTCAAAAGTCTGGACTGAAGCTTTTGTTCAGGAAAAATGTATTGATTCTCCATTGTAAAAGTTTGAAGTAGTTAGAGGAAAGATTTTAAGATGGATTGTGGCGGCAGATAAATCTACTGTGACTAATGTAAGTCAAATTTGCACCCTGAGCAAGTCTTTTACACTTGACGTTTTAAGTGCACTGGATTTTGGGAGTTATAGTCGCATAATTTCCTGGCTGTATACAGCAAGCAATGAAAGGCAGCTTTGTTTTCATTGATACCAAGATGTGTGTCACAGCTTTGCGGGCGGAAACAGCGTGTGCTTTAGTTGTTAGGCCGACTGTAACCCACATTTCTTTAAAAAGACTTTTTATTTTAGTCTGTTTTACAATTTTGTGCCGTAGAATTAAGGCTGAATAAAATTAGCTGTCTGTTTTATTTCCCCTTCAAGCATCTCAAAAAGCAAGAAATGTCTCTGTCTTGTTTGGATTATTCCTCGTACACCCTTTTGGATTTGGTTTAAAGCTGCATGAAGATGTTTTTCCTGACAGGGCTTGAAAATCAGCCACATTCAATAGATAGACAATCAATAAATAAACAATAAACAATCAATAGACAGGGTTTTCTTAGCACAGTTTGGTTGCATTGTTTTATTAAAAGTCTCCTATTATTCCCTGTTTTTGGGGTGTTCTAGAATGTTTTCATGCTTTATTGAATTTATTTATATATAAAAAATAAAAATAAGTTTTATATTTGTATAAATGTGTATATATAATTAAGGATGTTGTCAATTTTAAACCAATTCGAGCCCAATTCACACCCTGACACAGATTTTAAGCACAGGATGGATGTGTGGATGAGCTGGTTAAAGCGTAAAGCATTGTATACTTGACGTGTTCGCATGAGCGCAAAGGTGCGTGCGGCAATAATAACGTGATTGTAACAGTGCGTGCGTCTCCACATCCCCTAGACACCATTTACTACACAGAAATTAATAAATAATAATTAATAAAAATATTGTTTTGTTTTTTTCCTCTGGTTTTGAAAACTCTTTGACTTTCAATGCTTTCAAGATCGCCTTGGGTTGGTGACTCCTGTACCGTTACTGTTTTACGGTCAATAGTACTAATCAGCTGATTGTTAAAGCCATAACACAGCGAGGGAGAAGAACTAAGTTGCATGAAACAATCCAACTACATATTTTACACCACTGACAAGGGAAAAGTCACTACTCACAGTGTCTATGGTAGAAACATGTAATATGTCGACCTTCATAGAAGAGGGTGGCCGTGGCTATGGAGATATAAATGTCTTATTCTAAGGTAATAAAAACAACGGTTCGTTGAGTAAGGTCTTTATACACCACTGAACACATAGTTATGGATCTTATATTGCATTTCTGTCAATAGATCCTCAAAAATATTACACATTGCACCTTTAAAGAAAGACCCTAGAGAGAGAGACACCTCCATAGCATCATTTTGCTCTTTGACTTCTTTGGTTAATGGTTATTCTGAATGCCTGTTAATTAATTAGCCATCACAAGATACAGAGTGCCGCTTCATGGACCGACACTGTGACATTATTCACAATGAACATCTTTTTTTCAGCTGTGACCACATCCTCTTTCTCTTGGGCTTTCCCGTCTACACAAAATCCAACTGGCGATCAAAACAGAAATGTTACTCTGTTTTTATTGTTCAAGTGTACTTTGTTTTCTATTATACATCTAGACTGTTTTAAGTAACACAGTCACACCTTTAGATATAGACCACCAATTTTACATATGGAGGTCCTGCTTCAATAAAAAGGCCTTTTGATAAAGAGCAGGAACAAGGAAAGGCAAGGTGTTGTGCAGCAACACCTGTTGACATGATCTCTGGTTTCCCTCTTCTCAGCATAGCATATCTGAACCAATGCTCTCTTAAATTTACTCGGATTGTATTTATCACTAAATAAATGGTCTATGTGCAGATCACAGTATATGAGGCAAATCACCCTCATTTTACTGTATTTGTGTGCTGCATTGTTTAGCACCAGGAACTAACATGCAAAAACTAACTTTAATCCAAAACCTACTAGTGAGCCATCCTTCTGTTACTGACATTGAAGTTCATAAGTCACTGATTTGGAACACCCATGTTGACAGGATCAACTTTGTACCCTATTTACCCATAAAAGTTAATTTTAGTAACGTGTAGCTGCGTATTACTACTCAAGGGTACTAAAATGTATCTTTTAGGGGTAGATAAGGTACAGAGTTATCCTTTTGGAGTACTGCCCTGAGACAAGCTGTTGTATCCCTAAAGGTAAAAAAAAAAAAAAAAAAATCTGATGGTTCACTTAAGTTTGCATTTTGCCTGCAGTCAACTTACTCCATTTTAGACCAGATACACATTTAAAATCTCTCTGATACTTGAATTTTTAATTTAGAAAGGGAAGTTTTGAAAATTATTTAGAAATGATTTTGTCAACACAAATATTTGTATTTTTCATAAATTATGTTGTCAATAGGTGTTAAAGGCTGTCACCCATTGATTTAACAACCTGAATGGTTGTTTGAAAAAACAAACAAACAAAAAAAAACGTAGTTTAGTAATAGGTTACTGGAGACACGGGCAAGATTTCTCTCTCTCTAACACACATTTTTACTTTATTTTATTTATTTTCACCCACTGACATGTGAACAACGGCCTGTATAATGCCATATTGTATACTAAAAATACGCTATAGCTACATCAAGCGGTCATTCATGCACAGAGCCACTGTATGCCTTAGACATGCACAATTTAGCTTCATCATCCATTTACTCATAGATTGCTATGCATTATGGATGTGCACACACATCACATGCAAGATGGTGCTGTCATGTCTTATTCCTCTGGGGTCTGAGGTGTTTTCTGGGCCCTGGAAGTGTTCTGACATGCTCTGACATTTATGCTTTTTTTTTCTTCTGATACTTGTGACATTTTCATGACTAGAGTCTGATTACACTCTATTCAGCACAAACTCTTCTATAGTAATATTCAGCAGCAGCAGCATGTATGGAAAAGTGTTTAGTTTTGAGATAATGTGATTTGAGTTTATGCATGGTTTGTGAAAAAGCTAAAACACATTGTCACTGAAATAAGGTCATGAAACCCATACTAATTATTTCTTCACAAGGCTTTTGAAAATTGCATCACATAGCCTAGAATATTTGCCTAGAATAACATCAGCGTGAGTGAATCAAACTGAAGCGATCGAGCCGCTCCAAACTATGAAACACTGTTCTTACCGTATTATACATATCCACAAACACAGTATTTAACTGTAAACGGGTCAGTGACGTGCCGCACTGATTTGCACTTCCAGGAGCAATACATATTATATAATAATATAAAATATGTTTAAAATTATATACATGTTTTAATCTCACATCATCTGTCCTCCTCACTGTTCTTAATTGTGTGAAATTTCAAAAATAGCTAATTTTTAGACTATTAATGTGGTCAAATGTCATACGGACAAACGGAATTCACTTAAAGTTATTTAAGACAATTGTATTTAAAATTATTAAAAATGTTTAAAAATGATACAATTTTTCATTTGGCATATTTTTTCAAGTCTTAAGATAAGCATATTAAAGTATCAGTAAGATAGTCCTTTTAGAAATGTCATTTGTATCTAAAACAAATTGTTCCGCAAAAACACATTTTCCCTATGTCATACGGTAAAACAAAGTTTAGAAGCCATTTTGGAACTGGATATTAATGACTTAAGTCATGTGAAATATGATGACATTACTCAGAGGACCCCTGAAGACCAGCCAAGTTGAAGGCAAGTTTAAGATTTTGCTCCTACATTTGGGGTAATTTCACCTTTTCCAAGTGAGTTACATGTGTCACAGATTTGGGTGTCATATGGTCAAACGTCAAAAAAGGGTTTAAAACATTTAAAATTTGAAAAAATATTTATTTACAGGTGAAATATAAAGTTTAAAAGTCAAGGTAAAGGGTAAAGATGGAAGGAGGTGGCCAAGCAACTGCCTGTTATAAATGACACAGCACAAAATTGTCATAAGGGCAAACAAAAAATGTCATACAGACAAACCGTTTTACCGTATGACATGTTGTTATACCATATGACACAGAGCATTTAACTGTTATTTCTTAACAGTTATATAACATATATAGTTTGTATGACTACTATGAATTAATATTAACATATATAATGTATTTCTGCCTATTTTAAGCATTTTTTCACATTATTACAGATGCCTCTTTCTAGTAAGGAGAGGGGTGCACATTTCTGTGCAAAGCTAAGGGCAGATCCTGCAGCTAGAGAGTAGAACCTAGCCAAGAGGAGGGAAAGGTATAACTGTGAGAGTATATGATGCCAGTAATGTTAGGATGTGCCAGTTTAGTCAGTATAGGCAGTATCTTATCTATAGGCCTGAGTTGAAGTCAGCATCACAATGTTTCTGGAAAGTGGCTTTATATACAGTGGGGCCAAAAAGTATTTAGTCAGCCACTGATTGTGCAAGTTCTCCAACTTAGAATGTTGAGAGAGG